GGCTACACAGACTGTGAGTATAAATAAAAAAAACCTTGGGAAAACAAATCTGAAAGGTGAACAAAAATCCTAAAAGTGGAGTGAGAAATATCAAGAATGCTAGTTTTGCACATCTTCCCTATTTATTTGGGGTTATACGATTACTGCAACCCCGAAGTACCAAGAATGCTTCGTGGAGGAGGAATAAAGTGACAATCCTCAGAACAATGCCTAACAGCCCACAGATCATAACAATCGTACAAAACAAAACACCAGAAATAACAAAGAAGACAACCACTTGCAAGCCCGTTACAAATTCGCCTACAAGGTTTCCTTCACTACACCTTATGGCTAGTCTTTCCGTTCTTGAGATGTGGCTACTTAAACCTTTATATAAACTTAAAACTCTTCTTGTTTTGGAACATACTATTGGAACTTCTTAGTCTGTCCCCCCATCAATATCAAAGAAATTAGGACATAAAAATAACAAACATAACAGAACAAAGCTTAGCAACAGATTGCAGGATGTGTTAGTAGTTTGAAAAATGACACAGCATGGAAAAGTTAATGTTAGTGTGGAATTGTGATTGGATTACATCCTGCATTTTGCCTCATTTTGCCTCAACTGACCTTTTTGCTCCTGCATTCTCCTGAAGATGATGTATCTCTCAAACATATGTCTCAACCTCATCTCAGGCACCTCGATTGTCTGCTTGATGATATCGCAAGTGATCTGCACGAGACATCATCACTAATTAAGTTACTCTATGGGCATGTACTCAAGCTATCTAACCTAGTGCAGCATCCAAAGCTAAAAGATGCAGGCATTGTCAAAACATTCTAGAAACATTTAAAAAGTTTCACACTAAAAACAACCCCCACAAGAATGTGCTTTACTACATGTCAGAGTTCAACCATCCAAGAGTTACCATTTTATCATACATTATTTTCATAAAAGCCTTCAATGATTTGGTAGTTTTCTTATCTGGGTTTCAGTAGCCAATTTCTGCAGTAAAGAGTCCCTTTTGGGAGACTTGGAGAAGGGCATAATTGGGTGCAACAGGTAGGGCATGATGCATCTACATGTGGGTTCCACTGAGCGCTCCATCTATGTAAAACCCAATCAACTCGAATAACCAAGTAATTGTACATGACCTGGGACCAGACAGAAACAACCATAACCCCTAAATGGATATCTGAGTCCCCATTGAACCAAATGCTTATCTTCTGGTTACATCTGCCGTTTGTTCTGCAGATTCATTTTGGTAAAAAAAAAAGGGGGAGCCAACGTTCTTTTACCGTGTGCAGCTCCAGTGATATCTTGTCCTCCTTAAGAGCAGATTCCAGCATTTCCAGATTCCGTAGCTGGTCGCTCACCCTCAACCGCAGCTGGCCGATGTCTGGAGGTGGTTTTTCAACACGCTAGAGAGCAAGACACGGGTAATAACAAAGATAGAGAGATTTGTGGGATGGATTACCCTGTCATCAAGGCTTGATATTGGACACATCCTTTTTATGCTCACTAAATTGGGAGTTTTAGGGTAATGATAAAATTCAAACCAGGATTCCAGTAACCTATCAAAATTCATAAGTATTATCCAATCATGACGTCTGTAGATGATCATGGATCACTATCATGATCACTGCATGCATGGTTGCACTTGTTATCTTTCAAAACACTGAGATCCAAGTAATGATAATCAGTCACTCACTCACCTTGCTACTCTCAATGTCCATCTTGAGTTGAGTGACCAGTGTCTGTTGCTGTCTGGCCTGCTCAGCCATGCTGCCCTTCATGGAACGCAGCTTCATGTCGCGCTTCTTTGTCTCTTCTCGGAAAGCCTGCTCACTGAAATGCCAGCAAAAATGGAAGTAGGAATATTTCCAATTTTGTGAAAACAAGAAAAATTTCATATGCAAAAATACGATTTGCACTCATATATTTGGCATTTCCATAATTGATTAACAGCCAAATTATTGATTTAAAATGAAAATAATTGATAAACAGATTCTTGACTTATAACCAAGCTAAAGAGGTAAACGAGCACAGACAAAATATCTTATGTTCCAATACGCGAACAAGCTAAAATCAATCCAATTATAAGCCAATTTTTCAAGGGTAAGACCAGCACTCAAACTGTATGGGCAATTACATGCTGTGTTACAGAATAGGATTGTAAAATGTGGGAAAAGCCGGCCTACAAAATACATACAGTGATTTCATCTCGCGTTGCAAGCTACTGCTGTGAAGAATCAGAGCTTTGTGACGATCCAGCAAGGCCTTGTATTTCTCATCCTAGGCACGATGTGGGCAATGGGGATAAAAAAAGAGAAAAAGGACAGAAAAAAGTGGACAAACTGAAGTCTGAACTGACAGGAATGGAACGAAATAAGAAAAGTTACATATATATGATATATATACACACATTTGAGAAATGAAGCTGACAAAAGCTCAGTTATTTGTTACAGTGAGCTGTGGCTGAAGCTACTTGGCGAGGACTGTCTCTCATGAAAATATTCTATTGTGTATTAATTCAACTCAATCGAAGTAACAAAGAAACAGCCACAAATATACAGCATCCAAAAACTGGTTCATATAACATCGCTTACGTTTATTCTTTTTGTCTCGCTCAGCATAACCTCGGTTGCATGAAGAAGCTCTTGTGCCTTTAGAGAAATTGGACAAAATGCTTAACACAATTTAAAATCCTTTAATCGAAATAAATAACGAGGATAGCATAATCCAGTCCAAAACCAAGATTACCTATTCAATAACCAAACTGACCCTTACTTCAAACTGTTCAACCATTCAACTCTGTGATTCTGGGGAAAAAAAACCTACAAAATCATTTTATCATGTGTTGTCATTTAATCTCTCTCCTCTTCTTCAACTCTTAAAGGAGGCAAAAGATCTTACACTTTGGGTGTACAGTGGAACGCCGCTATACCGAACACCGCTATACCGAACATTTGGCTGTACCGAACATCGTCCTCGGGTCCCAGTAATTTGTGCACAGAACCTAACACTATTCAGGTGCCGTTTGTAATTCCCGAACATCAACATGATAAAACAGTCAGTGTTTTTCATGTTGGAAAGTGACAAGTGGCCATTATTTCCCCAAGGATTAGAAGGGAAAGCCACTAGTTGTCAGCAGTATTGAATAGACATTGATTTTGTGACTCCGCCTGATCGGGTGCAAAACCGCACGTATGCGCACCGTGGCATTGCACTAACAATGGTCTAAAGAGGGTGCTGCTGATATACAAATCAACCGAGATTCGCCACAGCATACATCAGAGATCGATCCCGAGCAGCAGCTTCACAACTTTTAGGATAAACTTGATATCAATTTCGTGACTCAAGATTAAATAAAAAACAAAAATAATCAACAGATACATTTCTGGAAACCTTAAACGTGAATGCAATGGCAAAACATCATAAAACCAGCGAACTGTAGTATCACAAGAGGGTGCACTTCAGTTAGACAAGAGAGGGCGCTATTCAACATGGCGATGAAACAGTTAATTTGTTATACAAAATGACCGCTGTACCAAACATTTAGCGTGGACCCAGTCATGTTTGTTATAGTGGCGTTCCACTGTAGTGAATATTGTCGGGTTACTTTTAATGTTGTTCTGTCTTTCCTGACCCACCTTTTCAAGTTTCTCACTCAGGTATCCATTTTCCTTGGTCAACTTCTCAATCTCAGGATCGACTTCCACCAGCGGGGTCAAAGTTCTTTGCTTCGGCATCAACGCTTCTTTCAGTTCCAGACGCTTCCAAAGTAATGCAAACATTACTGAACATTAATGACATTGAGTGCTTCCAGAGGTCAAAGTATTACATCTTGACCCAGTTGATTGCTTTGCTTTCATTAACCCCTTCATACCAGGAGGCGTCCACAGCCGCGGCTCTGTGCGAGGATTAGTGCATACCAAACCTACATTCTATTCACCATGCAGCTGCTGGTTTCAATGTGGGCCTGCTACTGGACAGGGCTTTCCATACTGGTCATACCGCAGCCCAGCAGTCAAGGTCAACAGAATCCCGGTGTGAAGGGGTTAAGCCAAATGTCCAACTCAACTGGATACAGCTACAGCGTGTGAGCCTAAAGCACTAGCCATTGGCTCCTGCAGGTGCATGTATGATTTCCTGCAACTGCCACAACTGTCAGACACAACCTCGACCAAATAGTGATAACAGATGCAATCTCATCGATTCTTTTCCTCTGTGGCAAAGTGGTTGGTGAGTTCTGCATGAGTTATCAAGGCACAGTCTTTACGAAAGAAGTATGTTAGCATGTAAAAATGTTACACTGTTGCTTTTATGCTTTAAAATTTAGAAAGAATTACCAGTAACTGTGGCATTTTGAGGTATGTGTACCTTATTCATCAAGGCTTGGGCAATTTTCAGTTCCAGGGATACAAGCACTGCAATATGAAAATGTAGCAACAGCAATATCCAATTTGAAGATAAATCGCAACATACACAGTGTTAGAGTAGAGGAGCAGAAAGTTACATGTATGGTAGGTTTCGATGCTACATTAACAAATGAAGAAAATGGAAGAGATACAACACCAACATTTTAGCAGGAAGTTCGTGTATGCAAACGCGGTAAAAGAAGGTAGTAAATAAGTTGAAAGTTTAAAAATTTACCAACTGTTCAAAAGAATATGCCAAACAATTCACAGCAAGACCAATACTGGCACCAAGTTGAAATCGTTGCCAATCTTTTTACTGTTACACCAAGAAATAAATATGCAAACACCATCAGCAAAATTTTCAAAGAAGTGCTATGGCTAAGAAGGGTTTGTAATGCTGATCTTGTTAAAATCCATGATAACCTTCAAATGTATCACATCCTTTTAGTTTTAGTCTTCCACTGAATTAAACCGATTATATTCACTTGTGAAGATAAAGTTCCCTTTAATAGCTTGAGATAATAACTTACATTCTACGGCATTCCCAGCCATTTGTCCAAGGATAATTTTGACATCACTTGGTTTCTGTACAATAAATCAGAACAGTTTTAAAAACTTTCTAGAGTTTAAGTACAATACCATCCAAAACTGTTATCCCAAAATTGTGGTCTAGTTTCCTGCAGTATGCATGGTGAATAAATGGAATGGAAATCTTTAACAACAATGCCAGTCCATACCATTTTGTCAGTGAAGTTGGTCAACGTTTCTGATTGTTTACAAAAATCTGAGCATTACCAAAAATATACAGCACAGAGTAAAAATATAAGTGTATTTGGTTTCCAAAAAAATATTAAATATGCTGGACCTAAACTTTGGAACACCTTGCCACTTTCCCTCAGAGAATCAAAATCTTACAGTACCTTCAAAAGTAAATTGAAATCTTATCTACTGTAATAATGAACCATTCTCTATACAAATCTTCATCTTGATTAATTATTCTTATATCGGTCTATGTCCACCGCTTTCATTCTGTATCGTTCACTTCACTGAGGGTCAGTGATTTCATTTACTCATCAGTTTGTGATTACACAGTGTAGAATTTTTGTTTTATCGGAATGTATGTATGTATGTAATTTGTCAAAGGGGCTAGCCTAACACAAGCCCATTTAATACAATTGTTTGGTTAATACTCTATGACTACTTAATATTGTATTAGGCAGGCATACTGCTATTATTAGAAGAGGAAATAAATGTCTGAAAATGTCAAATGTTCATAACCAGTCTATTTGAGATCAAGAGCACACTTCTCTTACATCTTCAACAGGAAGGTTACTCAACTGCCGCACATCGTGAGCTGTATCAAGAAGACCTGCCAAAACATCATTTGTCAATTTTAGGGTATCTGAGAGTGCTGTTCATGTTTTCAAATAATTAAAATCAGACAATTACAAGTTATATTTTTTACGGTTCTGACATGATGTTGATATATATAAGAAAATGGAATAGCTCTTGCTCTAAAGAAAGTAACACTAAAATCCCTTTTGAAAAGTTATTGTTTTCAAGGGAGCTATTTTCAAAAGGAGATAACAAGCCAACAAAACAATATTTTACAATTAAAGGAGTTTTCGAAGGTCATAAATAAAACTATTCATTAACTCTTTTAGGTTTTTTAGACAGAAAAAAATGTTTAGTTTCTAACAAATTTATGCTCATGTAAAAATGTTATTGTCAGAAATTATCCATAAACCTGTTACTTGCTCCTGTGTAGAGCTTGTAGTAATCATTAGCAACCTTGTAAAAATACAGTGAGACAGAGCAAAGATGTACTGACGGTTTACCTTCCTTTTCCAAGATGGCGGCCAGTCCATCTTTGAATCGGTTGACAGCTCGGAGCAAGCGGTTGCTCTCCTTCAGGATGTTAGCCAGCTGAAGTTTCATCTCATTCTCCTGTTTTCTCAAGGTGGCATCGCATCTTGAAAATCCAACGAATAAGATTAAACCATCTGTCACACGACTTGGGAGTTTTTTTCTTAATTACTCAAGAGTTTGCTAAAAACAGGCTCAAATGTAATTTCAGTTTCACTGAAAACTGGAAGCAACTGTCTCTACTGTTACTTATACTTCATTTTTCAGAAAGGTGCCCCTTAGTTTATATTTGGAGTAATATTAGTAAAATTGAGTTGACTTTTCCCCCATTTTGCCTGTTTTATGCTTCTACTCACAATGTATCAGCATACCAAAATAATAAATAGTTCCAACACCAAAACAAAAGCTCAAACCCATCACTGGGGAGGCAAGATACATCCCCCTCCTCTTGGCTGTGAGCAGGTAAGATGAATCAAAATGATGAAATCCGCTGTGTATCACACAGGTTCATGTCTCGTCTGGCAGTCTGGTACCAACCTTAGCTTCTCCTTGGCCGCATAATCTTTCAGGGTGTGCAGCTCCATTTCATGTTCCCCCTTCATTCTTGCCAGCATGTTGCGCACTTCTGGGGAGGCACCCGGGGGCGGGGTCACGTCTTTTGCAGGGGGAGGGGTAGCTGCTGCAGCGGCATGGTGTTTCATTTGTGCAGCCAACTCGGCAATTTTTTTCTCCTGACGAAATCACAGGAAATGCAAACTCAAACACATTTAGAGGGCAGTGGATGTGTTTCTAGAGGATCAATGAACTAACAGTGAATGCCAGGGATTTGTTCAGTGCAATACTGTGCAGCGTCTAGCGAGAAAATGGTCATGTGGGGTTGACGATTGGTCAGAGGAAGTTGGGTTGCAGGTATTTTACTGGTACTGAATAAAATGAGAAGACGAAGAAGGGCAGTGAGGGGGTATGGTGAACTTAGGCTCAACCTTGTTCCTTGCCAGCTTGAGGGTCAATGTTATTGACAGACTACCTTGACTTTTTAAATTCAATCCATTACAGTCTCCCTATAGCAGAAAACATAACGAATACTGACACATCTTCTGCGTGCATTCCACAAGTCTGGGGGGATCTTAAGCATACACAAGGCTAGACAGAGAATGATCTGAGCTTTGGCTCCAGACAGCATGAGGACCTTCTTCTCTATGCCTTGGTTCTTTCAAAACAATTTCTCAGGCCTTTTGATGTTGTTTTGGAGAGATTGATGCAAAGGTCAGTATCCTCCATTAATCATGTACCTGCAGTAAGATAGCTTCTTCCTTGAGTTTGATAACGTCCTTGAGGTGAGTGATTTCTCTATCCATGTCGTCCACCTAGATCGAGGAAAAACAAAAATGTTCATTCCTTCAACCTCAACACCATGCACCACACAATGGGCCTCTGGATACCTTGCACTGGATTTCATGCAGCCGTCCATTGTCTGTCAACAGTCACTCTTACGTGATAGTCATACGTGATTATTCCTACGCTCAAAGTGTGACTTGGTAACGGAATTCTCTCATCACACCTCCTGCTTATATTCCTTGATGCGCTGCTGGTATTGTTCCCTCATGGATGACTGCTGGGATTGCTTAGCCTCGCTCTGGAAATGTGTAATGTCCAACTGGTGGGCATACTCCTCAGCTTGTTCTGAACATTAGAAATTACATTGAAAAAACTGTCATTTATTGTTGTTTTTTCCTTCCATCTGAGTGAGATGAGATTGAATGTTCAGGATATGACTATGAGGAAAAAGTTAAACGCAGGTGTTCTATCCTATCGCTTCTGTATTTTCAAATTGCCATGGGATATGACACTACTCAAGTACTAGTGCAAATCTGGCCGGTGGGATAAGAGTTTGGTTACCCTGTATGTCTGCAAGCTGTCCCTCCAGATTTTCAACCACTTGCTTCAGCTTGTCAATCGTGTCCTGAAGATAAGGTGGTCAGAATCCAAACGAGGTCAGTCAAATTCCTCACAGACCCTTTCAGTTTAAGTGGTGTGAGCATCTGGGGAGCTTTGTCAGCCTTTCCAATATGCGCGTCAACACTTACACCAAGTGTTGTGTATCCGTCAAGATCATTCGAAGGGGCAATTTTTATGGCCGAACGTAACGCACATATGTGTTAAGTTTATGGAGTCGTTTTTTTTTCTGTCTGTGAAAGTGAAACGCATGAATGCATCGTGTACGCAGCCCACCAAAAAAGCAGTACATATGGAAAGGCACCTTACTACTATTACACTTTGCCTTTCAAAGAAAGTTTCTTTGAAAACCTGGACAAAAGTTTATGAACATATGAGTACAACTAACAACTACTCCATGTATCTGGCAACTTTCATATTTTAATTTCCTCTGCTGATTCCAAATTGAGATATCGTGTTAAGTTTCTCTGAAGTCAATCAGATATTTGAAATGAATTTTTAACTAGGTAATTGGTTTACTGTGAAACATCTTCGCCATCACAGAGCAGCCAATCAACTTGACCATACCTCAGACATATTCATGTCTGAGAGCCGAATTTTCACTGGTTCATTTATCATCACATGCCAGGTTTTTTTCTGCTGTTTATCCAAGCGCACATGCGAGGATCCGCACCCAAGTCACATGGAACTGCTGCACAGGTGAAGTGCAGACGCATGAGCAATTGAGCATAGCCCTTACTTCATTACACATGCTGCCTTTTCTTTGCTCCTGAAATTTTACAGGCAAATGACTATGACTGAGGCACGGTAAAACAGATATAGTATGATTTAATGCCTCAGGAACTTGCTTGTCAACTCCTGATACTCATCGAAAATCAGCTTTCCAACTTTAAAGTCAGCTGGGAACCAGTCACAAATTTATGCTGGTAACCTGATGTGGCCAACCAGTATTATCTATACTTCTGTATTGGTAGTTCAACAAGCTTGGATAACTTTGGGGGTCAAGTTCTTTACCTCTGCATCATAGAGTTTTGCCAGCGTGTGCTCAACTTCTCTCACTAACTCGTCTTCTCTGGCTGTGGCTTGTGCCTGGAGGGTCTTTATCTCTTCCTGTAATCGAGCTGCCAATTGAAAGTGATCCCTCGGTTGAAACTCGAGCAGCAAGGACGAACTGACATGTATAAAGGATGAGCAACCATCTTGCTATGCACCATTTGGGGGCAGAGTCACAGTGCTTCTAACAAGCTCTTGGTATGCTGAACGTGAGTGATGCTGTCCAAAGCATTACTAACATGGTCAAGTGCTACATCTGTACGCCCTCTGTCTTGCTTGACAAACGATATGACATGAGTGGGGGATTTCGATTTCCATTGTGGTAACTTGCAACTTGGAAATATTGGAATACATAAAAGGAAAATTCTTTGAGAAAAACCAACAAACCAGATTGTGAATAATGGTGGATTTTCATTGGCTGTTATCAACAACCCAGAGTGTGAAAAATGGTGGATTTTCATTGGCTGTTATCAACAAACCAGAGTGTGAATAATGGCGGATTTTCATTGGCTGTTATCATCAGCATGCAAATATTAGACTGCTTTGAATTGTAGTAATAAATCAAGCTTCAGCAGAATCCATTGCCAGGGAAATTAACAAGTTCCCAGCATTGCAACATGATGGCATGGTTACATGAATGATGGAGTGGTTGCATGAGGTCTTTGGGTGTGTGTGCAGGGTTGCGGTTAGTTTGAGCAATAAATAGTTAATACGCTCCTGCCTTATCAAGAAAAAAATGCACTAGATCAGGCCCCATGTTCCATTTGAAGCTGAACTGTTCTCGACTGCAGGGGGCTATTTTCATCTAAGCGTTGGATTGTCTGATCCTCTTACCAGTTTCTTTCTGGGCGGCTTTGAGTGCAGCCTCGCGCTGCGCTTCTTCTTTAGGGTTGAGCTTCTTGACGGCCTTGGCCTGGTCAACGGAGTGCTTCATATCCTTCAGCTGATTTTGCAATTCTTTCTGAAATAAAACCCAGTACAAAAAGCCAACTGATTTTTGTACGTCTGCTAAAATACCCATTGAAAATGCTCATATACGACAAATGTCATTGGCTACGGCATTTCATTTACTTGACACAGGGTTGACCTCTGTGTGACCGTTTCCATGAGAAGCTCCCAATCTTCACTTACAATTTTTTGGTTCTGTTTCTCTGTGAAGTTCTCCAGTGCTTCCAGCCTTGTAGTCTTCTTGGACAAATCTCTCTCCAACTTCTCGTTCCCTTTCGTCAGATGGTTCACACTGACCTGTCACACAACAAATAAGCCATGCACCCTTATGAAAGTGATGATGAATGATGACTTTTTCAGTGGAAACATGACCGTGAATATCTGTCATTTGTACTGAGTACTGCTTTGCAGTAACATCTTCAAACTGGCAGTGACAAGACAATTTGTCCCCTTTCTTTATGTCCATTCCTTTACCCCAAACTCCAGTATCTGTTCGCACAGTTGCATGTTTTCTTCATTGCGTCTCTCCACGGCAACTGACATAAAGTTGAACTGTTTCAGGGCATTCTTGATCACTGAAACAGAGATAATCAGAAAAATCAAAATCTGCTCGATATTTTGGAGTTAATTGGAGTGCACAAAATATCAGTAGCTCAAAAACTGGTCTGCTTATAAAACTATGCTTGGGTTGAAAATCAGGCCTTGCCTTCTTTATGACATCTTTAAGCTGATGTAAGATATTAATATATATATATATATACGCTTGATTTCAACTGAAAAAAATTCTTTTCTCTAAATAGGGAATCCACAGAGTGAAAATAAATTCAAAATCTTATTTCTTGGGCTGAAAAACCCCTTATTCAATAACTGAGTCCTTAGTCTTCCCATTGGTGAACCTCGGAGTGCAGGAACAAAAAACGTTTCAAAAAGAGCACCTGAAAAAGTGGTTCATCTAATAGGTGTTGAATGGGCCTACATCCTTCATACTAGCTTCAACATGTCCTTTGTCACATTTTTATCTAACCTCCCCCTTGGATGTCACATATTCAAATAGACCTGTAGTGGGTATTAAATATCCACAAATACGGCGTCCACCAAAAGCAATGTGTTTCATAAGTATCATTTACCAAAAATAAAGTTGACTGTAGGTAACGTACTCGGACTACTGATGTGCTGGGTAGTATATCGTAATTTGGGTGTATTGTTTGTAAACAACAACTGAAACACACGTTGCTATGGGGTTGATACCCACTATAGGTCACGCGATTTAGTGGGCGCAAGCAGTCTATTATGTTACATAACAGAGGCCTAAGCATATTAATTAACTTAGCAAAATGAACCACATTTTGACAGACACACTTTAAAGGCTTTTTTGAGAATTTGGCACGACATATATCAACAGGGACCTTTGTAGTGTCCATTTTCACCAGGCTCACAAAGTATGTGGTACATTTAA